GTACAACATAAAGATAAGTTAATGTTCAGAAAGAAAGGGGAAACAAAGCATTGAGACATCAGAAAGAATTCATTATGCCTCTAATCTTCAGATATATTTGGTAAATATTTTAGTGTGAGTAACTTAAAAACATTGGATGGAAATATAAAAACCCAGCAAAATGAATGCCTTCTAGAAATCTAGCAATTTATTTCTAAACTGTATGCAAGTTTAAAATATGAAATATATGGAATGAACATGAACTTAAAGAAAAAGGTCAAATGCAGGATTTTAAAAACACATCAATGTTAGGCTGACAAAATTTGGGCTAAAGAAATCCATAGAACCACTTTTACTTCTTCTTCAAGTCAGTGTTGACATCTGTTGACTGCCTGAATTAGCCCCTGCAGTTTCCTGGCAAGATTTTGGAAGTGGTTTGCCATTGCCAAATCCTTCTTAGGACTAAGACAGAGTGATTGGCCCAAGGACACTCAGATGACTTTGGCAGGACTAGAACTCACAGTCTTCCAACTTCTAGTCTGGTGCCTTAATCACTACATCAAACAGACTCTCTGACAACCACTAGATGGCAGCAGAAAAATACATCAAGGGATCATTTGGAGTTTTGTAAACCTTCTGGAGAGCTGCATGAGAATATCTGGTGATATAAAGACCTCAGGATATATCTAGGAACAAGATGCCTCTGTGATATAATATATGTGATTACATTCCTACCCTTAAATAACTCCCAAACCAAAACAACGGAAATCATGTTCCAAACTACAGTTCTTTTCCAACTAGAAGCCCAAAAGGAGAACTCTACTTACAATCTGTTGGTCATCAAAGGCCATGCAATAAAAGTTCATTATTCCATCTTTACTCAACAATAATTTTGGTTGTCTCATCATTTTAATGCATTTTCCAACAGATATATATGTAGAAACACAGGTGCACCTACCCTGTTTCCCTGAAAATAAGACATCCCCTGATAATAAGCCCAATCGGGTTTTTGAGCGCATGGGCTAAAAATAAGCCTCCCCCCGAAAATAACCCCCCCAAAAAAATATTTAAACGCAGAGCTGAAAATCAGGTAAGATGGCAAGAGAAGCCCCATCTTGCTCCATGCGCCCCAAAATAATAAGACCTCACCGAGGCCAAGCACTTATTTCGGCGTTCAAAAAAATATAAGACAGGGTCTTATTTTCGGGGAAACACTGTATATTATTGTTAAGTTTTAGGAACATCTGCATTACACACAAGTGTCCATAATTTTTGCCATCATGTAACTGTAATTGAATCTCTCTCTCAAAATATTACAAAATGACATATTTTGAGTGACAATAAATATTTGCTCTACTTTAAAAGATATTGAGCAAATACGGCATTTGCCATCAAACATTATGACTCCACATTTTTATGGAGTTCCAGCACATTCTGTAAAACTAGACTACTTCTTCGGGCTTTCTCCTGCAATTCCTACATTCACACTTATCTACTCAGAGCACAATTTTAGGATGAATATCAAGGCTCCTGGGAAGAAGAATTTATGTGAGTAATATGAATCAGATTTCACCAAGTGTTCCATGACACTTTGTAAATTAATGGATTAGACATAAGATTCAATTTCCATTTAAAATTAGCGCAAGCAAATTTGAAAGTTAGCTATTATCATTCACTTTCTTTGATGGAAGAAAATATATTCATTTTTGACTATAGCATTTTAATTTTTTTCAAAAAGAATATGCAAAGATTCAAAAGGAAAGTAAAGAATTAATTCCAAAATCAGATGTTTTTATAGATTTACTAAACAGTCACTTTGACTTCAACTGCAATTTAGCCAAATTCTAATAAAAGTCTTTGAAACATATTAGAAGAAAATTAGTTTTTTTTAAAAAAAGATGAATTGCTAAAACACTATAGAAGAAAACTAGAACAACAATAAAAATTTTGAAATATTTTCTATAATTTTGTTTGTAGAAAGTATGATCTATTAAAATGGAATAAAAATATCTATTTATTAAAAAGTTTTATAACTGATTTCTATCTTTTTTTCATTTTCCAAAACAGAATACAAAAGGAAGGTTTTTTAGATTTTATTGCCAGTCAGAATATGACCTCATTAAATCATAACATTTTTAGCTTCACATGCTTTCTAAGGATCCTTTGTGTCAGTTGTCATTACATTCCTGTATCAGACTCAAACTGTATTTATTTATTTAATTTATTTATTTATTTATTTTAAACTACATTTGTATTTTGTTTATATACTGTATATATATATATATATATATATATATAAATCAGGTAAACAGTTCTGTGGGGTTTCTTTTTTAACTACACTGTCACAGACCTCATAAATCTCTGATATTGTGGAATTGGATCAAATTTATATAGAATGAAATTATATGCTTGTATAGTTATCATTCCTATATTTGGAATATAAATATACAGTCTATAAACATGCAGGCATGTGCTCAGAAGTAATGAGCAGAAAGAATATTCCACAGTCTGGAAATGGTTGTGAGTCAGAAAACACATGAAAGGCCAATAATCTTCACATAAGAACCTGCCTTCAGATGGAGCGCTAGTAATTTATTTAGTTCAAATGTCAACATCCTTTAAAAATGCAAACCATGAAAATATCAATCAAATCAAATCAAATTGCAGAGTGTAATGAAAGGAAGACTTCCCCAATAAACCATAACAGATTTTTTCCCCCTTGTCTTAAAATATTATTAAATAGAGAATTGGAACCGATTTTAACGTTCTGTAACTATGAGTTGAAAGGCCCTGTTTTTCTGGAAGTTATTTTGAGTTATACATCATTTGTTAAGCGCTTAAATAAAACTATCCGGGCCCAAGACAAATCTGTTAGAGGGAGATAGTCTTCCCTAATATTGATCATCCATTAACAAAATGATGGCTGCATTTAATGCCACTCACAACCCATTTGTGGGAAGCATTGCAGAAAAGGTGGTTTGGAGTGTAGAACCACAGCAACAATTTGGATCGGTATTAGGACTATCAGATTTGGGCTGGAAAACTCTGGACAACCAGTAAATGTCACGAAGGAGTTGGGGTTTACTGTCTCTTTGCTACCATCTAGGGGCTGCCCTTCTATGGGTGTTCAGACTGTCTGGACATTCCACATCTTCACTGGCCCACCATAGATTCTTTTATGGCCCCAATCAGATGTGTTCTTTGCTTTTTGAAAGTCCAACTAGGTCCTTATGTCTGCTGGTTCCAAAGCAGCCACTACTCCTATTTTGACTGTGTTGTCACCCCTGAAAACCTGGAACTGAAAATGAATCACCATTCTGCATCAAGTGTGGCAGAATATCTGGGATAAGTTCTGGATCAAGTCATTAAACTGCTTCTGATTTACTCTACATTTTTTTTTTCCCTGTTGTGGAGATTACTGATTCACTTCTCTTTTCATCAGGTTTTACGGTCCTTTTGCACAAAGACGGTTGTTTTACTCTGCCAAATCTTGCAAAGCCGTGAAATGCCATTTCAGGTGCAAAGTACAAGCATCCTTTCTTTTTATCTCTCAAATAAATGCTTCCACAGCTCCTATGACAATAATAACTATTCCTTCATTTCCTCTTGGCTAAAACATAACTGTCTTTGTTATCAACAGTCCTAGTTCACAGTACAGGCACTTGGCTCCAATAAGAGAAAGAAGTTCTGTTAACATTCAGAAGAAAAGAAAAGGGGGAAAAAATTACAATATTCCAGTACGTTAGTAGAGCACATCTATAATAAGTCACAAAGCCCAATGCCAGACCTCAAAGTTAAGACATTTTTATCTTCAATCATAATGCGGATTATTCTTTCAAACTCCTTCGGAGCAGCTGAAACCAAGCTTTGAAACATCTTTTTGCCCTGCATGAAAGGATTGTTTGCAAGGAACGCTTTGAATTCTGCATTTGCTCATTCCTTGTAATGGCACCATCAGAGTCTTTGGTTTCCTCTGGTTCAAGATTTACAATTTCAGTCATAGTACAACCTGGATGCTATAGCTGCCCTTTCTGTAGGAAATTTAAAAGCATGTCGCCTTTTTTGATTTTGGAGAAAATGCAATAGCAAAAGGTTTCGCTTATTTACCAGAAAGTCTCCATTTACTGCCAAAGGTATTAAAAGGAGGCTGAGAAGTTACTGGAAGGAGGATGACTTTACACACCGTTCTTGTGCTATAAATGATAAACCGCTAAAGGTCGGAAGCACATTACATTTGATTGTTATTTCTATGTCAAACCACAAAAACAAAGGTAATGTTTTCCTTCATCATAGAAACAAACTGCAATGTTAAGATCTTTGATAGCCTTTCTTTTCTTTTCCATCTGAGAAGATAAATACAATGCAGGAAGAGGCTCCTCCCTCCTGTCCTTTCTCTGTTTTTCCTCTTTTTTTATATAGATCTGGCCTTATAGTCAACGGCTTAAAAAAAAAAAAACCCTGATGAATATTTTGAATAAAAATATGATATAATTATGAAAAAGTTTATTTTTAAATCCACTTTTTTTAAAAAAAAAACACGTCTAGTTACTTCATATAAATATCAAACTGATTTATATTAATCCATATCTCCTATAATGAAGTGTTACTGTAAAATAAATCTTTTATCCTTGAAAATCATTTTAAACCATTTAACTGAAGGAAAAGATGATAAATTAAGAGGCTTTTTTTTTTGCTGTAAGTAATTTGAATGAAAATAAAATGTAACAGAAAAAGAAATAGATTTACCTTACAGTATTCATTTTTATGAAAGAAGTAAAGTACATGTCATGCAATCTATATTTGTGTCATACATTATTTCCATCCAGCTGCTTATTGCTGCTACTTTTTTTTTTGTTGTTGTTTATTTCTATTTTCCTCTTAGAGCAAAATGTTTATTTTTGTACAACATGTTCAGGCAGGAACTCACAATATATATAGATAGATAGATAGGAAAGGGTTTTAAATTAACCAATGCAGATTTCAAACAAGACTATGTTGTCTCTCTCTTTTCCTTTTTCTAGGTCTCCATCTGCCTTATCAGTCATTTGATAAAAATCCAGTCATGGAGCAATACTATCAGTGATGAGATTTCAGAAATGGTACCTGGGAGAGGGAAATGTTATTCTTGTTATTAAACAAATTGGAAAAGCAATACACGGATTAACCCTTGACTAAATTGCTTTAGATAATTTTTTCAAGGAAGGAGTATGTTCTACTTCATGTATAAGAAGCAACAAAAATGCTCCTTGAATCTAGTTAGGAGATGTGCCTAATAAAGGACTTTATTTGAGCCTATTTCATTACTTTTTTTGTTGGTAGTGGTGGCACGAAGGGTGAATGAAGTTGAATACAAAAGACTTCCAGTGCACTGAATTACCTGTTTCACCTTGAAAAGCCACACAAAACGAAGCTCTTAAAGCCTTTTGAAAATGACCTTTTTTTCCTCAGCAATGATTTATCTCCCCCCCTCCCCCCAAAAAAATCCCTTTTACAAAAGGGACTGTGATTAAAGGAAGCCAAGCAGCACAAACACTGGCTGAAGATCCTGCTTATCAGGAACTCACTTGACAATGTGTGTATGGGGGTCGGGAATGCTGCAGGTTCAAGGGATAATTCAGCCTTTCAAGCACTTCAATTTATTTCATGCCTGAGCACTGTCATTGTGAGCAGACAAGATGAAACGCATCGTTGTGTAAAGAAATTGAAATGAAATCCTACTTGACCCAGCAGGATGGGGCATTATGTTTGACTCAACGCTGATTCCTGGGATAATATCTAATTCCTGGAGGAAAATTTCTTGATATGGCCACCTGCTGGGAGACGCTTTGTCCGGGGATCACAAGTTGTTCTGGGTGACTGGGCTCAGGACATGCTAAAAAGGAAGCAGCCAGCCTCCCACTGCTGTTAAGATCGCTTCATTTTCTCTCACACGCTCTATTCACTGGGAAGAGAGTGAATTGGGGCAGGGGCCGAGAGAAATCCAGGAGGGGACCCCGAGCACTTTGGCTAGGAGCTTCACATTCCGTGCCAGGGCCTGCTTGACCTGAGGTATATGCCCATACATACATACATACATACATACATACATATATATGTCAAGTGAAAACATTTATTATTTCATCTCAGGCTAAGGACTTTTTTTATTTCAATTATCCTCCCTCTCTCTCTCTCTCTCTCTCTCTCTCTCCCTCCCTCCCTCCCTCCCTCCCTCCCTCTCCCTCCCTCCCCCCATCTCTCCCCCCTTTTAGTAATTTTTATGTGACGGCAGACCTGTCATCTCTGTGTCTTTCCTCCTTGGGTCCCTATGAACTGTTTACTTTGAAAAGACAGCACACCAACCGATTAAATAAAGCAGGAGCACTCCTTGTCTCACACAGGGGAATCGTGGAGACAGCTTTATTACTTCTGTCAGAAAACAAAGGTTTTTCCCAGCATGCAGGGGATTATTAGGCCAGCAGCAAATAAACGAAATTCACAACACCGACGCTTCAGATGTATCTAACGAGCAGAAGGAGGGGGCAAAGCTGTAATTGATTTCTCCGCTGTTATATATTTTTTAAGAAATAAAACTTTACACAATCTGGTTTTATGCCTAATGACAATTCCCCCTCTCATTTAGATGCTAATGTTAAGATGAAGGGAGAAAGCTCTTTTGGAAAGATGATGGCTTGCCCATGTCTTGCCTGTATTATATACCATTTTGTATTATATACTATTGGAAGGCTTTATTCCCTCCTTATAAAAAGGATTTCTACACATCATGGCAGTTTGTATGTGCTTAGCAGGCGATAAAGGACATGGCTAAGATGAAGAACCTACAGTAAGTGTATTCCCTCAAACATGTTTTCCTTTAAAGGGTAGCCATTAAGTCCAGGCTGAGGGTGGGGGGGAGAGAGAGAGAAGGAAGGAAGGAAGAATCGGGGAAACTCAGGATTAAGTCTACCTTCAGTCATGGATGTTCATTGGGTGACTTTGAATCAGTCCTTACTTGTCAATTCAACCTATTTCATGTTGTTGTTGAACCTATTTCATGGAAATCATTGGAGGGACTGCTCTACAGTATGTGCTCCTTTAGGCCCCTGAAGGAAACCTGTGATATAAGTCAATCAGGCATATAAATAAATATTTCCTCAGTTGTATATTTGAAAATAATTATTTCCAAGCTTAAGAATATATCGCATTTCAATATTTTTCTCCACATGCAGGAGCACATTCTGTACAGTTCTATGGAATTTTGAATCCTCAAACCTCTAGGAAATATGATGGATCATTTTGAGCAAAGGGTTTAGAATTTGACTGAAATGCCTGGGGATTAGTCTTCCATTTTTTTCCCCATTTATTTGTCAAACCATAGGAGGACACTTTGCAGAGATGCTGTGTTTTCCAAAGCACTTCGTGGAGGATCCATGCAAGCCCATCATTGTGTGGCAATCTGTATATTTCTGAAAGCCCTGAAGGAGGAAAAAAATATTCTCTCTGAAAACTCCATGATATTCTAAATGTGTGGGCAGATATAGATATAGAAAAGGAAAATAGGAAACATTTCCCCTCATTTTATGTAGTGGATTTTTTTCTTTTTTTAAAAAAAAGTCCAAGGACTCTACACAGGGCAGAAATGAAAACACTGGAAGTGAAACATCCAAATTCACTCCATGCAGAATCTGTGTTTGAATTATATTAAATCTCCACCTCACTTTTCTTTCTTCAGGCTGTCAAAAATATTTCTATTCTGACTTTGGGGTTTCAAGCTGACAAGCTGCTAAAAGAGATGGGAACGGTTATTTCTTTCTGATTGTTCAATACAAAAAGAACTGAATACAAAAGATTTGCATTTATATTTTATGAAATTGATTGAGTCCATTATTTTACCTTTATTTTATTATTAGCCTTCCTACATGCTATTTTTATTGGGAGAGCAGGAAATAAAATGCAAGAAACAAATTGTGTTGTTGCAACTATTTGCTGTGATGGGAGAGCTACAGCTCTGACAAGATATAGCCATAAAATCTGAGACAGTCTTTTCACTCTTACTTCTCCACATTCTTTTCATTTAGGTCCTCCCCACTCCATCTGTAATGTGAGACACAAATGCACAGACACAAATGCACATCTTTAAAAAAAAAAAAAGACCTTTTCTGGAATATTTATCCTCTGATGACTTTCCTACTGAGATCATGTTCTCCCCGGTCTTCCCATGCACTCCTTGGCTACATCTCTTTGGGGAACTTTACGTGTTTCTTTATTGCTTCTCTTTTTATTGCATGAATTACTTCCCCTTATTACACTCTGCAATTCACATTTGTAAAGGGATGTGTCAGGATTGATTTACTCTGCTTGCAATTGCTGCTCACCCTGCAATCCTGTAACAATTTACACTGAAGTAATGCCCACCAAATGCAATGACCCTTACCAATTGATATGTATAATCTTACACATTTGTAATAATTACAAGGAGTACATTCTAACAATAAAATTAAATAAATGTATGCTTTAGAAATAAGAAGAAAGGGATATAAAACAATATGCTGGGGGAATAAAAAGAAACTAAAAGTGAATAGTAGAAGAGTGGAAAGAAGGAATAAAGGAGGTCACAGATCAATAGTAGACTTGGTGGTGGGGTGTTGTTTGTTTCTGCATGAAGAATATAACATCAATTAATCAAGTGTTGACAAATCTTCTTTACAAATTTGATGAGCTTCTGCTAATTAGAGCAGACAATATTCAGCTAGATGGATCAATGCATTTATCAAGGCAAGATTATATATCAAAATTATGCTTATTCTACAAAACAGGCAAACATTCATATCCTTGAAGTTTCCAGATAAAGGAATTTGGGTGCAGGAATTTGTTCAGAATTGCCATTCTTTTTGTTATGCTTTTAAATCTTCTTTTGAGCTGTGACTGCATGGCAAAGTCACTTCATGATGAAACAAGCTGAACAAATAGACATCTTTCTATTTCACTGCACGAGTGATCTTTCAGAAGTGCTGGAAAGTGAAACCTATTGTGCCTCTTCAGCCTCGCAAGCCTTGTGTCTGACATGTTCCTGACCTCATATTCCCAATTAATATTAAGGATATGAAATGACCTGAACAGGCTACAAACTAAGTCATTTTGCTACCTTAATACCAATATGCTGGTGACATTTACAACCAAAAGACAAGATGAGAAAAATACACTTTACAAGAAATTTATTGACAGTTCTGTGCAAATCTTGTTCTGAACCATACTTACCCACTGAAGAGAACAGAAACACCTGGCTGGGAATGATGACAGACCATTATGCCTGAGGACATACTCAGGTGACTGAATAACTAGTGCTAATGCACTGATTTGCGTTTACATTGTAGCAGTGGGGCGTGCCAGATTCTGCCAAATGCATGCTAATAGATCAGATTTCGTTGCTCTTGAGATCACAACATGAAGAAGCCTGGGTAATAGATTAGAATCCTCAAGCTCCAATTTTGCAAAGGTCGACGGCCATTTAGAGCTGCCAGTGTGCTAAATTGTAAAGTAATCCTAGCATTCATAATGAGTACCATTTACCAGTCAACAGTGTGTCAATATATATAAATAATATAAGGAAGTTAGATGCACTAAGAAGCTGAATTGCTTAGACCTGACCCTGCTTTCTCGCAGATCAATGGTTGATTTGTTTTTAATTTGTATGGATGGAGGAGGTAAACCTTGAGTCCCTTGTATTGGCGCCAGGTTCTTTGGCTTTATCAAAGATGTGCATCCATGCTGAAACAGTGTCTCTATTTTGTGCTTCCAATTACTTGCTGGCCTCAAAGACCCTCAGCCAAGGCTCCTTAAAACTGAACCTCAAGTGTATAACTTAAATAACTATCATCACAATAAACATTTCCTGCTCAGTCAAGCAAGCTGACATACTGTTCTTCTTCTTACATTACTACAACTTTCAAACAGAATATATACACATTTCTTTCAGCCCTGCTTCTGCTGGGGGAAATACATGTGTGTTGGAGAAAATACACATCTGCAAGGGAAAATAAAGCATGTTCAGAATGCACCCAGGACCACTCACAGGTGTGTTCACAAAGCAAATCCAAATTATGTTGTGCATAACTGACTCAAGGGAAACCTGATCTATCCAGGGAGCTATTCTCCTTTTTATCTATTTTATTAACCCAAATTGCCTTTTATTTTTTTTAAATACCTCAATGAATTTCTGCAAGAGCTGGAAGCTCAGAACCAGACCTTAACAGAGAAATATCACCATAGTATAAGAATTACTTGATATACCTGGATGAATTTAGAGATGTGATTGAT